TTTTCAACAACAGTCATGTTGGAATAGGGATTCCCCAAAATGAAGAAACAACACCAGATCCTGCCACAAGCAAATGAAAGAGTTGTTGATAATGACAATGGTATTATTTGGTTATCCTGTATTTAGTATTATCACAGATGTACTTTTTACATTATATCCCAATATTCTCTTTCTCTCATCATTAGGAACTGTTGTAACTGATTTAGGCAATGTGCCGCCATTACCAAGTTTGGATGAATTTTCACTTATTCACCAGTGAAGTTATATACGTTTTCTAAGGCGTCTGCCATACACACATTTTATTCTTTACTAATGGGTGGCTACAATTGAACACAGGCTTGTGTTCTCAGAATGAGCGAGACTGAGGTTGGCAGGTAGAGTGGACTGGATGGAGGGCTTGGGTTCTGGTTAAGCCAGGCTGGGTGGCTCTCCAGGGAGTTCCAGAGGAGTGATACCTGTGTGTCCCTCCCTGACCATCACAAGAACCTTGGGGGACCCCATGTAAAGGACTACAGTGAACCTCATGGATCATCCAAGCTCAGTAAGGATTGATCAATGTACATATGGTCCTGTTACTACAGTGGTAATTACCAAAATGGTATAGTAATATCCTAAAATCAAAGTGACCACAGAAGCCTGGCTTCTGCAATAGATAACACAGATTACTCACCTTCTGGGCATTCTGCAGGTCGGAACTCCTCTCTCTTCATGCCTTATGGGCTATATCAAAATCTTCAGAATTTGACTCTGTGGTTCCTTCAGCATACATCACTATGTTTCTTTTAGTAATGTAGGGGACAGGGGTGGACTGACCATTTGGAAACTCGGGCAGTGCCCGAGGGCCCGGGGGCAGTAGGGGGCCCCATGAGATGCCCCTGGTACCTTTTTCATAGGCTTTTTTGAGTTTGGGCAAGGACACAGGGGCCCCATGATCGACTTGCCCGGGGGCCCCATGAGTTGTCAGTCTGCCCCTGGTAGGGGATCAGCACAAAGACCAACAGAGCAGTTTTAAACACTATGCAACACACCGAGATAGAGCATCATATGAAAGAACACATCCTCAGTATCCCTTTGGGCATTCACACTCCTTTCTGCTGGCCACTGGGTGTTGCAAATTTTAGCTGTGCAATCTGCTGATTAGTTGCTCGAGCATGCATGTCTAAAGTGATGTCACCGATATATTCTTTTGCTGAGGAGAAAAACAGTTGATGGTAGAGGAAGCTAATAGCTGCAGGGAACAACAGTACAGATCCGGAGCAGAAGGGATGGATGAAGTTTGAAGTTGTTCAGGCCGGGAATGAAGAAAGGTTCAAGATGGCTGCTGCAGCTTTAAATGGGATATATTGCAGAGATGCAAGTTTGTGGGGAATTGAAAGTAATCAGTTTCAACACAGGAGAGGACTTGCTACAGGTGTGGTAAAAAAAATGTCAAGGCTAGATAGAGTTCAGTTTATATGAAATTACTAATAAAAAAGACAAAATACAATAAAAAATTTTATTCAGGAAAAATATCAAGCGAGTTGTCCATAACACTGAACTATACAACAGAGACATTCTACTCAGCCCTCACACAAACTCAGCACTTTCAGGCTCACACACTCCATTTCCAAAGGGCAGGCAAACTTCAAACCCCCAGCTGTGGTGAAGCTACAAATCCCATTGGAGTCATCTTGGAGCCATACCTGTGGCTGCCAGAGTCTTGTATTGCCTCCTGGGACCAGGGCTGCTGTTAGAAACCATGGGGCCCCCTACAGCCAACGTGACTATGCTTTAGTTATGAATGAACACAGTGAGTGATCTCTACCAATCGTTGTGTTCATTTAGAAAAAGAAGGGGCTGGTAAATGTGACTTATTTACCGGACCCTTCTTCCCCTCTCCATCTTGAAGGATCCTATTATGTGCTTGCAGCTGCCGGTGGGAAGGAGAGGAGGGAAGCCGGCAGCACTGTAAGGGGGTAAGGGGGGCACACAGGGGAAAGTGGCAGGGTGAAATATATGGTGCACAGGTAGGGTGATGGGTGCGGCGAGGAGGGGCAATTACTGGAACCGAACGCACTGAATGGCTTTCTCTGCAGAAGCTGAAACCAAGAAGTGTTCAGCTGCTGCAAAGAGAGCCATACAAGGGGATTGGTTCCAGTAATTGCCCCTTCCCTACCACACCGATCACCCTCCTTGCCTACAGGGAGCTCACCCAGCTGCCTGGGCCCCCCTACTGGCCTGGGCCCACCTGCTGGCCTGGGCCCCATACTGGAGGACTAGTGGTACCCCCTGATCCACAGTCCTGCTGGGGACTTTCAGTTCCTCAACAGCTGGTGGGCCAAAGAGTGGTTAAAACTGAGAGTATCAACTATTTATTGCAAGGGCTCAGGGGCGGGCTGACCATTTGGAAACTCGGGCACTGCCCGAGAGCCCGGGGTCAGTAGGGGGCCCCATGAGATGCCCCAGGTACCTTTCATAAGCTTTTATGGGTGTGGTTTGAGTGTGGGTTAGGACACAGGGGCCCCATGATCCCCTATTGCCCGTGGGCCCCATGAGTTGTCAGCCCGCCCCTGCAAGGGCTTATCTGCATATAAAATGAAAGATTTATATACACCCCCATACACAGACCAGGTATGATAACACTCCTAATTCAGAGCTATTGGAAGAAGCATGGCTTCTGTAGTGGGTTATCCTCCTGGTAGCATGGTGGAGCCCTTATCATCCTTCTACACAACACGGATAATGATTCTTTTGCTTTGATATACGATTTCAGATATTAGCACAAGGCCTGATAGCAGTGATCATACTCATATCCTATACCACACCGATCTGTTAATAAGGGATGTGTATTAGTAGCCTCAAAAAAATGTGGCACAGATCCCCCAAAACGTGTTGGTTTCCTTCAATAAGCTTTTGCTTTGAGATATAATTCCAGATATTAGCACAAGCCCCACTAACAGTGATCATACTAATCTTGATTGTCCCTATACCATACCGATCTGTTTATATAAGATGTTTATTACTAGCCCTGAAAAATGTGGGACGGATTCCCGAAACGTGTTGGTTTAATTCATTAAACTTTTGCTTTGAGATTTGATTTCAGTTAATAGCACAAGCCCTGTTTTCAATGATCATACTCATCTTAACCATTTCTATACTATGCTGATCTGTTTATATAAGATGTTTATTGCTAGCCCTGAAAAAAAAAGGGGTGCAGACCACCGAAACGTGTTGGTTTCCTTTCAATAAAATTTTGCTGTGAGATAGGATTCTAGATATTAGCACAAGCCCTGCTGACAGTGATCATATTCATCTTAACCGTTCCTATACCATATCGATCTGTTTATATAACATGTTTATTACTAGCCCTCAAAAAATGTGGTGCAGATCCCCGAAACGTGTTGGTTTCCTTCTTTATACTTTTGCTTCAAGATATAATTCTAGATATTAGCACAAGCCTTGCTAGCAGTGATCATACTCATCTCAACCGTTTCTATACCATACTGATCTGTTTAAATAAGATGTTCATTACTAGCCCTGAAAAATGTGGTGCAGATCTCCAAAACGTGTTGGTTTCCTACGAGAACCTTTTTTGGTTCTAGATGTGATTCTAGATATTAGCAGGAGCCCTGCTAGCAGTGATCATACTCATCTCAACTGTTCTTATACCATACTGGTCTGTTTATATAACATGTTTATTACTAGCCCTGAAAAATGTGATGCAGATCTCCAAAACGTGTTGGTTTCCTTCAATAAACGTTTGCTTCGAGAGGTGATTCTAGATATTAGCAGGAACCCTGCTAGCAGTGGTCATACACATCTCAACCGTTTCTATACCATACCGATCTGTTTAAACAAGATGTTCATTACTAGTCCTGAAAAATGTGGTGCAGATCTCCAAAACGTGTTGGTTTCCTTCAAGAACCTTTTGGTTCCAGATATGATTCTAGATATTAGCACAAGAACTGCTGGCAGTGTTCATACGTATCTCAACTGTTCTTATACCATACTGGTCTGTTTATATAACATGTTTATTACTACCCTTGAAAAATGTGGCGTAGATCCCCAAAACGTGTTGGGTTCCATCAGTAAATTTTTTGCTTCGAGATACGATTCCAGATATTAGCACAAGGCCTGCTAGCAGTGATCATACTCATGTCAACCATTCTATATACCATACAGATCTATTCATATAAGATGTTTACTTCTAGCCCCGAAAAATGTGGTGCAGATCCCAAAACGTGTTGGGTTCCATCAGTTGCTTCGAGATATGATTCCATATATTAGCACAAGGCCTGCTAGCAATGATCATACTCATGTCAACCATTTCTATACCATACAGATCTATTCATATAAGATGTTTACTTCTAGCCCCGAAAAATGTGGTGCAGATCCCCAAAACGTGTTGGGTTCCATCAGTTACTTCGAGATATGATTCCAGATATTAGCACAAGGCCTGCTAGCAGTGATAATACTCATGTCAACCATTTCTATACCATACAGATCTGTTCATATAAGATGTTTACTTCTAGCCCCGAAAAATGTGGTGCAGATCCCCAAAACGTGTTGGGTTCCATCAGCTGCTTCGAGATATGATTCCAGATATTAGCACAAGGCCTGCTAGCAGTGATCATACTCATGTCAACCATTTCTATACCATACAGATCTGTTCATATAAGATGTTTACTTCTAGCCCCGAAAAATGTGGTGCAGATCCCCAAAACGTGTTGGTCTCCTTCAATAAACAGCTCACATGTGCAATATCAGCAATATCAGAACAGCAACCTCAATGACATTGTCCAGATCGTTCATGAGCCATTGAAACACGCATTAGGGAGCTTCAGATGTTCTTTCCTTGGTAAGCGGGGTATACGCTGTATGTATGAATATTCTTCCAGTGCAGACGTTGCTTATAAAAAAAAAATGCAGCTGAGGATTTACCGAAAAGGAAGGCATTATGAGTTTCTAGCTTTTTATTTTCTAAAACAGTTTTCTCTCCAAAAGTTGAGTTTCACATTTCATTATGCCCCTGAAGACCCAAGACTTTTTTTTTTTTTCAAAATAGAAAATGAAATTCTGTATGCTTTGTAAAACCAAAATTGTCCAATGAGAATAGACAGTACTTTCACAGTTCTACCATGAATATCCCTGAACGAAATTGTAGCAATTAAAATATTCCCGGGAGCAGTCGATACGGGACGGCATCTGTATAGAGCTTCCAGTCTTTGCCGTACTTGCTGGAGCATCGATGCTCGTCGCGGATACAGCGGTGGACGAGCAAAATGGTCATGTAGATGATATAGAAATAAGGCAGTAAGTGGTCGAAGCCACAGGCGAGGCAGTAGGACAGAGACCCCATCAGGTCCCCCGGTGTAGTTCAAGTGCCGGGCCACCCCCCAGAAGCCGGAGATCATGAGCTTGCTGTGGTGCTTCTTGCCGTCAGTAGATGTGTAAGAACATTCGATGAATTTCGGCTTCTTGCCCCAGATGACGCAGTTGCCGTTGGTGCGCCTGAACAGATCCTTCTGATGGTTGGTCATCCGGAAGATGTAGTACCCAACGAGCCCGAGCAGAAGAATCGCTGCAGCCGCTGTGGTCGAGAGCTGCACTGGGTTGTACACCAAATATAAACCCTAAAAGAAAATGCATATTTATTATTAATGCGCTTGGAACCGTTTGAAAAGTTCATAAGTATGAGTGAATTTTAACCCCCCTAGTGGTCTGATTATGTCAGTATTTTCTGCCTGTAATTTTTAGGAATAACTCACTGAAATCTGTCCGAAGAAGAGTCTAGTAAACAAAAAAACATAAAATTTGAAACATGAAATTATAAATTATAATTTAACCACTTGAGCTCTTGAGGATTTACCCCCCTTAATGACCACGCCTTTTTTTGCTGTTTGGCAATGCACTAATTCAAATGATAATTGCGCGGTCGAGCAATGCTGCACCCAAACGAAATTTACGTCCTTTTTTTCACACAAATAGAGCCTTCTTTTGGTGGTATTTTATCACCTGTGCGCTTTTTATTTTTTGCGCTATAAACAAAAAAACACAAAAATTTTGAAAAAAAAACCAATATTTTCTACTTTCAGCTATAAAAAATATATCGTAAACTCAAAGTTAGTCATAAATTTAAGCCAAAATGTATTCTGCTCCATGTTTTTGGTAAAAAAATCCCAATAAGTGTATATTGATTGCTTTGTGTGAAAGTTATAGCGTCTACAAACTATGGTGTAGATACTGTAATTTATGCCTTTTTTTACTATACAGCGCTGCACTAATTCAAATGATAATGCGCGGTCATGCAATGCTGTACCCAAACGAAATTTACGTCCTCGATTGATCAGGGGTTAAATGGGATAACTGGTGTTCTGGCGGGCAAACTGGCGCTATCTGGGAGGGGCGCTAACACTATCGGAAGTCGCCAGCGACACTGATACAGTGATCAGTAAAAATCGATTCACTGATCAATGACACTGGTGACAGGGCAGTGAAGGGGTTAACTGGGGGGGGGGGGGGGGGGGATTAAGGGGTTAAATGTGACCTAGGTGTGTTTCTAACTGTAAATGTGTAGTGTTTTACTCACGTTTACTGTGTCTTCTTCTCTGTCTGGAACGGAATGTGTCCAGGCAGAGAAGAATGACATCATATCCTGTCCTGTGCAACTGTCAACACAGGACAGGATAGGACAGGGACCGATCATCTGATTTCAGCCAGACATCCCTCCGGGATCAAATGGTGTCACCCGCGGGTCAGCGGGAGCGCACGCGCCCCCTGTCCCGCGAAAACGTCGGGAGCGTGGAGCCTGTTTTAAAACGTGCTTTTGCGCCCCAGTGCCACCCTGCCACCGTATATATGCAGTGGCAGGGCGGCAAGTGGTTAATAAATAATCTTAAAAAATAATAATATAATAATACATTTAATTAAATAATATAATCAAACCAAAAACACTGAAATTTGAAATAGAGCGCCAAGTTCGTGACATCACTGAATCGTTTTCAGTGTTTGATGAGGAATTTCCCCCACAAATCATTATCACTCAATTCTGCAAGTGGTTCTGATTTACTATCGCTGTTCTCTAGCCGGTCTAAAACCGCTTTTGACCTAAAGGGACGCTTTTTGGACGCCATGGACGTTTCTCAGTTTCCAGGCAGAAAGAACAGTAAAAATGCAGGCAGGGCACCGGACAAAGCACTCGGGACAAAATGTATGTATTTGATACAGTAATATTTTACTGTGTGATTTTAGTGTATTGAGTGAATGTCACTTTTAAAATTTTTGAATTTCCCGCCAGTTCCATCCCCCGTACGTCCCAACGCTCGCAGGGACCGGAACCCAGAAGACAGATGCCGGCATCGGCCGGGGACGCTGCAGGGGGGACATCGCAGGAGCGAAGGACAAGGTAAGTAAGAGGGATCCAGGTGCAACGCTGCAGTGTATTCCCGAGTGTAGCTCGGGGTTACGCGTGTGTTCTAAAAGTTTACCCCGAGCTACACTCGGGAATACCGCCAGGGAGGTTAATATCACATTAATACAGCAGTTTTTGACTTCCCGAGTTCACCAGGAACTATTTACAAAACAATTTGCTGTGCAAATGTCTCAGCATCCACAATAAAAATCCCTGTAATGTGTCCAATATGATGTTTTCCTATGATCGCCAGCTCCATCCAATGGCCTTATTGCATTATTTTTTCTGAAATACCCCTATCAGGAAAATACTGCATTATGGCCACTAGATGGAACTGATGACCATAGGAAATAAACATATTAGACACATTGGGAAACATCTATCAAAACTGAAGCAGAGAGAAATTGGACTATCCTCCCCTAACATTCCATCCCCATCCTTATATACTGTACATCTTGTACTTCTGCCCCCCTCCCCACAAAGCGATGAGCTGTGCTATGTGTGTCCATGAACGCACACAGCCTAGGTCAGGAAAAAAGCCCGCACGAGTGCCCCATAGCACACAGCTTGTGATGGGGGCAGGGGCGTGTTTACCACAAGGCAAACAAGGCAGTTGCCTAGGGCAGCATTTTTCAGGGGGGCAGCACTGGCCCCTGGAAGAAGGGACACTTGCGGCATGGGGACCAGGGGGGAGCCGAGAGAGTCTGCTGACTGCTTGCTGGTGTATGCAGAGCCCGACTCTCGTTCCCAGGGATGTCCGGAGCTGTAAAGGTGAGTGGCTTCCTCTCCAGGTGGGCTAGGGGGGGCAGGGGTGTTGTTGGTCAGTGTCAGGGGGGTTGGGTCCAATTTATGTGTTGCCTAGGGCAGCACAAAACCTAAATACACCACTGGATGGGGAGCCACACTCAGAAGAATGTTTAGAGAGCATTGCTGGGGGACCCCAGAAGAGGACATAAGGGCCCGCTATGTGCAATACCATTGCACAGAGCAGGTAAGTGTAACATTTTTAGTAGCCTTTAGTATCACTTCAGTCCGAGAATAATGCTTGGCTGGCCAAGAAAGAATGGCACGCATGCACCCCCCCTCCCCTTATTGAACCAAACCAGACCACATGCCTTCAAATGTAGGGTGCCTTCCCCATGTTGATGAGAACAAGGGCATCTTCCCCACAACCCTGTCCAGTGGTTATGGGGGTCTGCATGCAGGGGGCTTGTCGGAATTTGAAACCCCCTTTAATAATAAAGGGGCACCAGATACTCCTCCAAGTGAATGGGTATGAGGTACAAAGTACCCAAATATGGCCAATGGTGATGTCATCTCTACCCCTTCTTTTCTGCTTATGTTCTGGTTGGACTGACCCTTTAATAAATGATTCTGTTTCAGCTTTTTGGAATGGTTGCCCCCCCCACCCCTTCCACCTCCTTACCTGTAATGTGTAGAGGTAGGGCAACCAGACGCAGTCTCCCCATCCTAGGTACCAGCCGAAATGGTCATGACAGATGTCTATGGTTTTCAGGTACCAAGCTTCGTTCCAGAAGAAGTCCACCACGTAGATGGCCTGCATGTACAGAAGAGGATAGTTAGCACCTTGTCTACCAATACATGTCATACACGTTTTACATCTCATATTGGTTGCATCTCATATTAGTTGCAAGGAAATCAAATACAGGCGTACCTCGGTTTACGAATTTAATGCGTTCTGTGGGACTTTTCGTATTGCGAAAAATTCGGAAACCGAAATGCGGTTTCCCATAGAAATGCACTGAAAACCAATTAATACGTTCCGGAGGTCAGAAAAACGTTTTAAAACAGTCTTTTTATCTGTTCAAAACTCTTTATAAAGTGCACTTTAAAGGCATAAATACTGTACAGGGACATGATTAAAAATTAATTCGTAAATGCATTGAAAACCAATTGATCTGTTCCGGAGGTCAGAAAAAAGACAAAAAAAGTTTTATCTGTTCAAAACGCTTTATAAAGTGCACTTTAAAGGCATAAATACTGTACAGGGACATGATTAAAAATTAATTTGTAAATGCATTGAAAAACCAATGAATCCGTTCCGGAGATCAGAAAAAGGTAAAAAAAAGTCTTATATGTTCAAAACTCTTAAAAAAGTGCACTTTAAAGGCATAATGGGACATGATTGAAAAAAAAATTTGTAAATATATTTAAAACCAATTAATCCATTCCAGAGGTCAGAAAAAGTTTTTAAAAAGTCTTTTATCTGTTCAAAACTCTTTATAAACTCTTTATAAAGTGCACTTTAAAGGCATAAATACTGTACAGGGACATGATTAAACATTAATTCATAAATGTATTGAAAACCAAATAATCCATTCTGGAGGTCAGCAAAAAGTAAAAAAAAGTCTTATCTGTTCAAAACTCTTTATAAAGTGCACTTTAAAGGCATAAATACTGTACAGGGACATGATTAAAAATTAATTCTTAAATGCATTGAAAACCAATTAATCTGTTCCGGAGGTCATAAAAAAGTAAAAAAAAGTTTCATCTGTTCAAAACTCTATATAAAGTGCACTTTAAAGGCATAAAGGGACATGATTTTAAAAAAATTGTACATACATTGAAAACCAATTAATCCATTTTGGAGGTCAGAAAAAAGTGAAAAAAAAAATCCATTGAAAATAAATTTGAAAATAATACCTCGGTTTACGATTTTTTTTTCACAATACGATCAGATTAATGGGTTTTCAATGCATTTACAAATTTATCTTTAATCATGTCCCTGTACAGTATTTATGCCTTTAAAGCGCACTTTATAAAGAGTTTTGAACAGATAAAAGACTGTTTTAAAACTTTTTTCTGACCTCCGGAACGAATTAATTGGTTTTCAATGCATTCCTATGGGAAACCGCGTTTCGGTTTACGATTTTTTCGCAATACGAAAAGTCCCGCAGAACGCATTAAATTCGTAAACCGAGGTACGCCTGTATTACAACATAGTTCAGGGACCTGGCCTCAAACCTGCAGGAGGAAAGTTCAGGAGCAGGGGCGGACTGACAACTCATGGGGCCCCTGTGTCATCGCCCACACTCAAACCACACCCAAAAAAGCCTATGAAAGGTACCAGGGGCATCTCATGGGGCCCCTTACTGACCCTGATTTTGCACACCCGTGCCGCCCTGTAGCAGTACTTTTGCTATACAGTGGACGGGAAGAGGTTAAAAATCTTTACAGGTGATCACTTTATATTTACAGAGGAGGTCTGGTGCTAGAATTACTGCCCATGAGCTGACGATCGCAGTGATAGGTGTGTGAGACGATCACTGTTTGCATGCGTGCGGGACCGGCATGTGCATTCGCCTTTGTGTGCGAGCAAGGGGGGAAATTTAATTTTTTTTAAATTACTAACTTTTTTTTTTTAATTTGCACACTGTCGCTTTGTGTAAAAAGGCTGTTTGATCCTGTCTTCTCTGATCCTCCTCTTGTTCAAATGTCCACGTCTTATCTCCTGAAATGACAGACTGAACCTGTAGCCATTCTACACATGCTCAGTTTAGTGTGTATTGCTAGAGAGGTTTTTTTTTTTTCTTGGGAGAGTGTATGTGATCAGCACAGGGCCAATTAGCACTGTTCAGACAAAGGGTCACGGGTCCTGCATCCTCCTATGGCAGAAAGAAAACTCCTCCTACAAACTTCAACCAGTGCTCTGCCGGACACAGATATAAGTCACAAGACTGCTCTAACCTCTGATGAGAAAAGGTATTTAGCAGTTCATATTTACTAAAATAATTGTATTTCCATGTTCTGTGTACTGTGGGAGACCAGATATAGTGAATGTGGGGTCCGGGGAGAGCGGATATAGTGAATGCGGGGTGCGGGGAGAGCGGACATAGTAAATGTGGGGTCCGGGGAGAGTGGATACAGTGAATGCGGGGTCTGGGAAGAACGGATATAGTGAATGCAGGGTCTGGGAAGAACGGATATAGTGAATGCAGGGTCCGGGGAGAGCGGATATAGTGAATACGGGGTCTGGGGAGACCCGAAATAGTGAATGCAGGGTCCGGGGAGAGCGGATATAGTGAATGCGGGGTCCGGGGAGAGCGGATATAGTGAATGCGGGGTCCGGGGAGAGCGGATATAGTGAATGCGGGGTCCGGGGAGAGCGGATATAGTGAATGCAGGGTCCGGGGAGAGCGGATATAGTGAATGCGGGGTCCGGGGAGAGCGGATATAGTGAATGCAGGGTCTGGGGAGACCAGATAGAGTGAATGCAGGGTTCGGGGAGAGTGGATATAGTGAATGCAGGGTCCGGGGAAAATGTATACAGTGAATGCAGGGTCTGTGGAGACCAGATATAGTGAATGCAGGGTCCAGGGAGACCGGATATAGCAAATGCTGGGTCCGGGGAGACCGAATATGGTGAATGCAGGGTCCGGGGAGACTGGATATGGTGAATGCAGGGTCCGGGGAGAGTGCATATAGTGAATGCAGGGTCCGGGGGGGGGGCGGATATAGTGAATGCCGGGTCCAAGGAGACTGGATATAGTGAATGCAGGGTCCGGGGGGAGACCAGATATAGTGAATGCAGAGTCTGGGGGGACCAGATATAGTGAATGCAGGGTCCGGGGAGACCAGATATAGTGAATGCAGGGTCTGGGGAGACCAGATATAGTGAATGCGGGGTCCGGGGAGAGCGGATATAGTGAATGCAGGGTCCAGGGAGACCAGATATAGGGAATGCAGATTCCTGGGTTTAGTAACACATTAAGCAGAGTATTTTGAAATTGTGGTCAGAAGTGCGGTAATTTCTCCACAATTCAAAATGCCCATTTGTGATCGGAGCCTAAAACATGTTTGGGATAAACATAGGTCTGTCCTTAGACAAAAACATTCAAAAAGTTCAGACTGGATGGACCATTGGATCTTTTTCTGCCATCACTCTTCTACGTTTGTAAATGATGTTCAACTTTCATAAAAAGAGTCTCCAGCACAATAGAACCTACCTGGAGGACATTGACCAGGATCATGGAGTTGGTGATCTGTCCGTACAGCTCTTGCTGCTTTGCTGCGTAGGACAGGTTGATCAGGGTCCAGCCCACGATGCCAGGCCGCCCATTGAAGAACAACTTGAAGTCAAACCACTTTCCAATGCGAGGGTTAAATTCAATCCCCATCATGTAGTCGTAGATGAAATTTCCGGTGAACTTACTGCCAAAAACAGAGAATTACAGATCATATATAGATTGTATGGAGATTGGTCAAATACCATAGTTACATAGTTAGTCTGGCTGAAAAATGACAAAAGTCCATCCAGTTCAACCATAAAAAAAAAAAAAAAAAAAAAAGAAAAGTTAAAATCCTACACCCATAGTTGATCCAGAGGAAGGCAAAAAAAAACCCAGCAAAGCATGATCCAATTTGCTCCTGCAGGGAAAAATTTCCTTCCTGATCCCCCAAGAGGCAATCGGATATTCCCTGGATCAATTTACCTATAAATGTTAGTATCCAACTATATTCTGTGTACAATCTGATTGGCCGAATCTGATTTTATGGAGATCGGTCCAATCTGATTTTTTGTAGATTGGTCCAGTCTGATTTCATGGAGATTGGATCTGATTGGTCCAATTTGATCTGATTGGTCCAATTTGATTGTTTGGAGATTGGTCTAATCTGATTGTATATATATTGCTTCAAGACCTAATTTCATGGACATTGATCCGATCTGATTGTATGGAGATTGGTCCAATCAATCATTTTGTCACTCAATAGCTCATTTAATAAATTATGTAGCGCCAGATCGGATTTATCCTCTAATGGTCACTGCACCAAACGTTGTAGTTGTGAATGCCTATAACCTTCACACTCCCCACCCATAATCTCCCATATTCTTTACATACATCCTTTGTGATGGAATGCCTGGCACCCCTCTTGGGAACTTCCATCAGAGAACTGTTTCCTCACTGCTGGGACACCAGACCAAGGTATTATAGCTGGGCGTTGCACCCAAGTACTAGACGACACTAGCTTAGGTACAACTGGAACTCTCTTTACTGTCATCTCACACAGAATTTATACCACGCAGAATCAGGTAAGAGCTTGATCACATTATCCTAAACAATGCACGCTGTAAACGGTAATATCATCAGTATATCTAATGAACAGCTAACATCTAACAGTAATCTAATCAACAGCTAGCAGCTGACAGCTAACCTAATTAACCCCTTCACGCCTAAGGGGAAAACAAATCTAAATGCCTAAGCACAATTTTGCAACGTTGCCCTGTGTTAGTAAAACCGTACATATCATCACAACTACTTTGTACATCCAAGTGAATTATACCGCATTTTCTTTTCAGGACAAATTGGGCTTTCATTTGGTGGTAAATGGTAATGGATATCTCCTGATTTTTTTTATTATCAAAGGAAAACTGGCCCAAAACAGTAAAAAAAAAAAAATCTTTTTTTTTATTTTTGCTGTGTGTTTCTTGTTACTACCATAACCTACCACCAAAGAACAACCCAAAATAAATTCTCCAGCTCTTGACGATCGCAGTGATACCATATATGTGTATGTTATTTGTTGTTTGTACCCGGAGTACAGCCCAGAAACAATAGTGCAAATTTTGTTTTTGTCTTTTTTTTTTTACCTAAAACACACTGACACTGACACTAACTGACACTGATATCAAATTTGGTGTGTTTTTTTTAAATCCTGACCTTTGACCCTGACCTTTTGACCTTGACCTTTGACCCAGACCTTGACCCAAACACTAACCCTGGCATTGAACTTTTATTTTTTTTTTTTTTATTTTTTCTTTATATCTTTATATTTTTATATATATCTTTATTTTTTATTTTGTTTTTAATATTTATTTATTTATCTTTTATTTTTCTTTTTTTTTTTTTATATAAACATTTTTTTCCCCTCTATGCCAGAAGTACAATGTATCTCTCTCCTCCATTCATAGAAAGAGAAAAAAACAAGGGGGCCGGGCTGTACAGTGACTGATCACTGTAATAGCCAATCAGAGGCTATAACAGCGATCATGTGACCCGGAATAGGGAATCCCGGGTCCTGATCGTTAGAACGGGACCCGGGGCTCTCAGTGACACTGCGGTCTTTGTGCTGGGAGCGCGCCATGCGGCTCACTCCCAGCACAAAGACAGGCACGCAAAAATGCGGCCCCACGGAAAAAAGCCCAGTTCCGTAAGGCCGCAGACTTGATGTCGGCAACAAGGGGTCAAACAGTGAGCTAATCAACAGCCAAGCACCCAGACCAGTTAGGAGCTCACCCCAGACAGACTGACAACAAGCTCACACCCCTCAATATACAAAGTCCATGCTGTCTTTCAGGTGTTTGCTTTCACTTGTATAATCTGTCCATCATAAGAAAAAACTCATACAATATTCCAACAATCTGAAAAAGTGGAATTAGTCGATCTTCATAGATTTCTTGAGGGAGATTCTCGACATATTTCCGTTCCAAGTGGAGGAGCTTCTCCAAGCCAGTCTACAGGAGGGCCACCATATTTCCTCTGCCCATTGTACAAGATTAATATTACACCTTTCCATCCACTCCAGAAGGAAAGCTTTATTGTCTTTATTCATAGAACGAATCCAAGCCTCACTCTCAGCGTTCATCAAGTTATTGTCCATCATTAGAGAATGATCTGCTCTCTCCATGCGATCAGTGGCTGAACTGAGATCTCCTCCATGCTCTGACCAGGAGAAGCAGACACAATCCCCAGTCTACTCCATGGGCCATAATCAGTCGGTAGAAGGCTAGCCCCTAGTCTCCTCCAAAAGCCCCAGTCACGGTTGAATTTGTCACACCCTCCCTATAACCCTCTCATTAACCCTTCCTTATGTAATTTTAACCCCTTGTTTGCATATAGACCTCCCTTGAGGTGGAACAATCTGCTCCAAACATGAACCCCTCCTACACTGTAAGGTACAGCACCAAAGTCCTGGTACCCAGTATACAGATTCGTTCTTCTGATCCCTTTTGCCCAATGTCATTAAAGTGATATTTGTGTGTAAAATACCCATAAATAATCCAAAAATACAATTGAGAAATTCTGGATGAAATCAAGAAGATCTTTTGGCTGGTGACCCCAACAAATATAAGAATTCAGAGGGTGACTAAGCCAACCAGACCTCACCTTTAACTGAAATGTCACTAGGGGGTAGAGGACCCTTCTGAATAGTATGAGAGCTCTTACCAGTCTTTGGCGTTAGTTGGGAATAAATAGGCTTTAATCATAACAAACGTGGACACAGTGTAGCCCAGTATGTTGGTGCACCACAACAAGGGGATCCAGTTGTCGATGATGATGGTTGGGGAGAACCAGTGGAAGTGGTAGGCATTGGCAAACCATAGTATGTGAGTGATGATCCAGGCCTGGAGCCCATTAACTTCATACTTGTTGATTATGCCTGGAGGAACAGAGAAAAAAATAGGAGTCAGTGATGTCATCCAATCCTAAGTTATCACTGAAATTTTTTGTATGGACTTATTTGGTGAGAAAGTTACTTTTCGGGACAAGATGCTGTTCCCGGGCTGATGCTTCTGCTCTGGTGGGTAGAGAATACAAGAGAATACTAGAGCAAATAATTATTCCTAAAAGGTAAAGCTGAACTATAATTACTTGGATTCAGATTCTCACAAATACCCTGGGCAGGTACTCTATATATTAATGGACCTCAAGAGGTTTCTGGTCAGCAAGACAAGATGGGGTTATTTTCTGAAGATGCCTATAAAAGTTCCAGGGTAACGCTAAGGAAGAGAAAATGCAGTCTATTATTATTAACTAACTGCTTTCTAAATGGTATTCAGACAAAAAAACACAATATCTGCCAAAGGACATCCAACCCATTGCCTACACAGGCAGACAATAGGCTGTGAAATGGAGTGAGCAGATCAGCCCTGGGCCTAGGTGTCCATTGACCTATGGAATATTATAAGGAATACAGAACCAAAAAAACCCATTTGGGGTTTGTGTTTCTTTGTAATATTTAACTGGAAAAAAATCAGTTATCGGTGGGATTTTTATAAGGGTGAGAAAGTTGCTTTTCCTGGGCTGATGCTTCTGCTCTGACATGAAGTAAATACAAGAGAATAACGGAGCAAACACCTATCCCTAAAAGGTATACTATAACACCAGGGGCGGACTGACTATTTGGAAACTCGGGCACTGCCCGAGGGCCCGGGGTCAGTAGGGGGCCCGATGAGATGCCCCTGGTACCTTTTTCATAGGCTTTTTTGAGTTTGGGCAAGGACACAGGGGCCCCATGATCCCCTATTGCCCGGGGGCCCCATGAGTTGTCAGTCTGCCCCTGTATAGCACACACTATCTTCCAACTGCCCAAGGACTACCAAACCACTGTCTATACAAACGAAAAACTGTCAAGAAGAGTGACCAGGTCAGCCATGGGCCTAGATGTCCATCAACATCTGGGATTTTATAAGGAACAATGGGCTTATATTTCTTTGGAAAGAAAATTATTTATCAGTGGGATTTTTTTTAAAGGGTCCTGTTAGGTGAGAAATTTGCTTTTCCAGGAAAATCTATATTCCTGAGCTATTCATGGCTTTGCTCTGATGGGAAGAGACATCAAGAGAATAACAGCTCAACCAGCTCTCCTTCAAGATAAATCTGCGCTTTGATATCTCAAGAGTGGAGATTCAGATCCTCACAAATACCCCGGACTGGTTCTCTTTGATATATTTATGGACATGTAAAAGCCTCCAGGGGTGACTGGCTAACAAGACAAGCTGGGGTTATTTTCTGGAGGGCTGCAGATACCTGTAAATTTGTGAATGTAATTCCAATGCAGTTTATGATTAGTAAAATCTGATCTCTAAATGTTTTTAAGATGACCCAACACACACTATACCTACCCAATGCCCAAAGACATCCAACTCATTGCCTACACAGACAGACAATACGTTCAACAAGTCAAGTGGAGTGAGCAAAACAGCCCTAGGCCTAGATGTCCATTGACCTCTGGAATATAGTAAGGGACATGGAGTCGGAGGCACTTTTAGTGTCTTTATTTGTGTGGGTTCTTCCTCTTGAAAAAAAAAATATCAGTGTATTTTTTTTTTTTTTTTTTGCTGAAGGGTCTCACTTGGTGAGAAAGTTGTTTTTCCAGGCAAGTTGCTTTTCCTGGGCTGATGATTCTGCTCTGACGGGAGGAGAATACAAGAGAATAACAGACCAAACAGCTATCCCTAAAAGGTAAAGCTACAGTATGATAACTTAACACCTCGTTGTGACTGGGTGTCATATGACGTCCTGTGAAAACGAGCCGCTCACACGGCCGCGGGGCCGCGCAGCAGCGCGATCTGTCACAGGCTGTGTCCACGGGACAGAGCTGATGACATATCACTACACCGGCCCGTTGCCAGTGTCATGTGACCGCTGTGACCAATCACAGCAGATCACATGTCAATTGTATCCAATGGATGGCTTCCTGCCATGCCATTCATTGTATACAATTATGTTATTAGCAGTGACATGATACAGACAGAGCCAATCACAGCTCATCTGTATCATGTGATCAGCTTTGCCCAATCACAGCTAATCACAACAAAAGACTGAATGGATCAGTTTTATTCAGTAACAATGATTGCAAATATCAAAGAAATACATTGATATTAGCAATCATAATGTGTTTAAAAAAAAAATAAAAGATCCTGATCACTTGCCCAGAGTAGTTCAATGTTACTATGGTAACACTGTATTGCTTTGGTCGCAGTGTGCTGAAAAATAAAATAGTAAAAAAAATTAAAAATGTAATAAAAAAATAAAAATAATAATAGAAACCTTTGAAAAAAAAATACAAATTCAATTATTATTATTTTCACCAAAGAAATGTAGCAGAATACATTTTGACCTAAATTTATGAAGAAATTTTATTTATTTGCAAAATGTTATAACATAAACAAAGACAAGTGCATTTGTTTTCAAATGTTTCAAGTGTTTTTTGTTTTATTTATCAAAAAATAAAAAAACTCAGTGGTGAATAAAGACCACCAAAAGAAAGCTCTATTTGTGTGAAAAAAATGATAAAAATTTCATATGGGTAGAGTGTTGCATGACCGCGCAATGGCCATTCAAAGTGCGACAGCGCTTTTGGCCTGGGCAGGAAGGGGGTAGAAGTGCCCGGTATTGAAGTGGCTAAGAGTGGAGATTCTGATTCTCTGGTGACTACTACCGAGACAAGCTGGGGTTATTTTCTGGAGGACTGCAGATGCCCATGTATGTGTGCGGGTAACTCCGATGCAGTTTACTTTTATTAAAATCTCTAATCTTTAAATGTTACATAGTTAGTCTGGCTGAAAAAAGACAAAAGTCCATCCCGTTCAACCATAGAAAAAAAAAAAAGCTATAATCCTACACCCACAGTTGATCCAGAGGAAGGCAAAAAAACCCAGTAAAGCACGATACAATTTGCTCCTGCAGGGGAAACAATTCCTTCCTGATCCCCGAGAGGCAATCGGATATTCCCTGGATGTTATTCAGATAATCCAAAACACTCTACCTTCCCAATGCCGTCCAACCCATTGTCTACACAGATAGAACTGAGCCCTGGGCCTAAATGTCCATTGACCTCTGGAACAGTATACGGAACATTGAACCTGAAATAATTTTCGGGTTTATGTTTCTGTGTGATAATCCACTGGAAACAAAATAACATTTTTTGAAGGGTCTCATTTGGTGAGAAAATTGCTTTTCATGACATAATTTTTTTACTTTAACAGAGTGATGTAGACTCACCAGCTGGCGTTCGAGCTCCTTCTTGGACACCTCCAACATAGCCTGGGAGAAATTTATGGCAGACATCTGGAAGTGCCATATACAAGAACACCTGCAAAAAAGTGAAGAATCATCATTAGGTCCTGTTCACATCAGCCCCGGCTTCTGTGCACCACAGACAAAGTACAAGGACAAATGATTGTTCATTGTTTTCTATGGGGTTTATTCCCACTAAATCTCTGAGCTGCAATGTGTTGGGTGAAGGTCCTCCTTGACACATTTTCCTGCACTGCTGTGTGTTCCCTGTATTAATATATTTAAATTACATAGTAACATAGTTAGTCTGGCTGAAAAAAGACAAAAGTCCATCCAGTTCAACCATAGAAAAAAAAAAAAAGTTATAATCCTACACCCACAGTTGATCCAGAGGCAGGCAAAAAAAACCCAGCAAAGCACGATCCAATTTGCTCCTGCAGGGAAAAAAATTCCTGCCTGATCCCCCGAGAGGCAATCGGATATTCCCTGGATCGACTTTCCCTATAAATGTTATATCCAGTTATATTCTGTGTATCCAAGAAAGAATCCAGGACTTTCCTACAGCAATCCACTGAGCTGGCCACAACCAACTCTTGAGGGAGTCTATTCCACATTCTCACAGCTCTCACTGTGAAGAAACCTTTCCGTGTTTGGAGATTAAATTTCTATTCCTCCAGACATAAAGAGCGCCCCCCTTGTCCTCTGTGATGATCTCAGGGGGAATAACTCTACACCGAGTTCACTATATGAACCACTAATGTATTATACATTGAGATCATATCCCCCCTTATGTATTATACATGGAGATCATATCCCTCCCCCCCTTATGTATTATACATGGAGATCATATCCCCCCTTATGTATTATACATGGAGATCATATCCCCCTTATGTATTATACATGGAGATCATATCCCTCTTATGTATTATACATGGAGATCATATCCCCCCTTATGTATTATACATGGAGATCATATCCCCCCTTATGTATTATACATGGAGATCATATCCCCCCTTATGTATTATACATGGTGATCATATCCCCCTTATGTATTATACATGGAGATCATATCCCCCTTATGTATTATACATGGAGAGCATATCCCCCCTTATGTATTATACATGGAGAGATCATATCCCCCCTTATGTATTATACATGGTGATCATATCCCCCCTTATGTATTATACATGGTGATCATATCCCCCCTTATGTATTATACATGGTGATCATATCCCCCCTTATGTATTATACATGGAGATCATATCCCCCCTTATGTATTATACATGGAGATCATATCCCCCCTTATGTATTATACATGGAGATCATATCCCCCTTATGTATTATACATGGAGATCATATCCCCCCTTATGTATTATACATGGTGATCATATCCCCCCCTTATGTATTATACATGGAGATCATATCCCCCCCTTATGTATTATACATGGAGATCATATCCCCCCCTTATGTATTATACATGGAGATCATATCCCCCCTTATGTATTATACATGGTGATCATATCCCCCCTTATGTATTATACATGGAGATCATATCCCCCCTTATGTATTATACATGGAGATCATATCCCCCTTATGTATTATACATGGAGATCATATCCCCCCCCTTATGTATTATACATGGAGATCATATCCCCCCTTATGTATTATACATGGAGATCATATCCCCCCTTATGTATTATACATGGAGATCATATCCCCCCTTGTGTATTATACATGGAGATCATATCCCCCCTTATGTATTATACATGGTGATCATATCCCCCCTTATGTATTATACATGGAGATCATATCCCCCCTTATGTATTATACATGGAGATCATATCCCCCCTTATGTATTATACATGGAGATCATATCCCCCCCTTATGCATTATACATAGAGATCATATCCCCCCTTATGTATTATACATGGAGATCATATCCCCCCCTTATGTATTATACATAGAGATCATAGATCATCTCAAGAGAGAATAAATTTAGTTCCTCTAATCTTTCCTCATAGCTGGGCCTATTATATTTATTTTCAAAAAGGTGACAGCTATTTTTTTAGAGGAGAGTGAAAATTGGTATATTAAAAAAAACATAACTATCCACGTTACAGAAGAAAAAAATGTTTTCGGTCAACAAACTGCTAGACAGCTCTTGTGAGAGAGTATTTTATTATTTATTTTATTTATTTCAGGTACTTATATACTTTCACGTACTTATATCAGTACCTATATATTTTATTTATAGGTTCTTATATATAGGGCGTGACTTATTTATTTCAGGTACTTATATAGCGCCATAAATTTACGGAGCGCTTTACATATATATTGTACATTCACATCAGTCCCTAACCCTCAAGGGGCGTACAATCTAAGGTCCCTAACTCACATTCATACATACACATACTAGGGCCAATTTAGACAGGAGCCAGCTAAGCTACCAGCATGTCTTTGGAGTGTGGGAGGAAACTGGAGTACCCGGGGGGAAACCCACGCAGGCACAGGGAGAACGTGCAAGCTCCAGGCAGGCGGTGCTGTGGTTGGGATTCAAACCAGTGACCCTAGTACTGCCAGGTGGGAGTTAAAAGCAAACAAAATTTTGAACTGCTTAGAACAACATTTATTAAGTCATTGTATGTACTAATAATTTTTGTGCGATAGCTCGTTTGATAATCTACCGGAGTATGGCCAGTTTAGGGGTGACTTCAGGAGACTGTGTGTTGCTGCTTGCTGGAGATCTTAAAGCTGGAACTATCCCAGGAGCTACTTTTGACAACTGCAAGAATTGTATCAGAGCCCCACTATTGGTCACAATGTGTACTCAACTGGCCTGGGAAGCTCTGCTCTCTCTTTTTCTTACTGATAGATAAACCTTTTTTATTGGTGCGCTCTCTCTCTTCATCTCTGTTGTTACAGTGTATGGATACCCTCCATCATTTGGAGCTACTGGATTAGGTTTGCTTTTTTGAAACTTTTGCCCTCCTTGTGTGTACCTGCTGCAGATCTGTACCCATATTTATGGTGGACCAGGGGCGGACTGAGCATTTGGAAACTCGGGCACTGCCCCTGGGCCCGGGGTCAGTAGGGGGCCCCATGAGATGCCCCTGGTACCTTTTTCATAGGCTTTTTTGAGTTTGGGCAAGAACACAGGGGCCCCATGATCCCCTATTGCCCGGGGGCTCCATGAGTTGTCAGTGCGCCCCTGTGGTGGATGTTGCCTACACCATACTGTGCCCTTCTGCCCGTCTCCCTGTACCTGAAATACCTGAAAATTGAGTCATCTCTTTTCCACCCCTTACTCATCAAGACATCAACCCTAACCCTAACAACAAGACACAACAGTCTCCAACATGGATGTGATTGTATTGGCAAGTTTATCTCGTATAATTAGCAAGCTGTTGGTGTATATATACAAATATATAGTAAATAAATATGAGTAATATACAAATTGAGGTTTAAGCAAAATTTGTACAATACATCTTTCATCATAAGCTGTTCTCAATATGCTTGCATCGTGTCTCCAGGGAGGGAGATGTGGACTGACACCACCATAGGACAGCTGGACACTTCTCCTCCAACTTCCTCCTGGTACTCTCCAGTGAGCTTCTGCAGACCCAAACGAACTCCAGGACTAAGCTTTTGTGAAAGGCCCCCCCAGCTGAAGCCTCAGCTGGGACCTCGATGTCTTCTAGGTGGAACCTTCAGAATTCGAGCCCCCTGCACAAGGCTCTCCTCCAGCAGGACTGGACCAAGGAACTCTGCTGTTCTGCCTCAGGACCTCTTGCACCACCTTCTGGGCACACCTCCCCAGGGATTGGCTGGAGACCCTGCTTACGTTGTTCTTCCTCCCACTATAATTCTAGAGTCCTTTAGAATACATGGGGAAGCAATGAGAGCAGCAATCTGTGAGACATTGAGCAGGCCCAAACAATCAACCCTCGCTCCACTGATTACAAAGGAACTAAGCTAAATCTGCCTAGCAGCCTATTCTGTGCTAAGAGGGTGCTACAGTCAGCTGAGACATCTGATAAAAAGCCCATGTTGAGGCACTTGAATCGGAACCTCCTAAAATCATCTGTAATATCATGTGAATCCTATAATTACCTGAAAAGATACCCAGGCTGCATAGATATAGACAGCTTTCCAGGTCAACAATGGGGTCTTATTCCATATGTCAGTCAGCTGGGTTTTTCCAGAGTACAAGTCAAGAAGAGGTCCGGAGAGAGCACATTGGTACTGGTCACATGACATCACAAAATAATAGACAATGAGTGGGAGCAAACATCAACAGGAAGATGACGCTACCCAATGAGAACCAGTCCACTTCCCTGCCAAAAGACATAAGAGGTTTTATTATTCCAAGGATAGATTAACAGGAGCTAAAAAGTTACAAATTGTTCAAAAACGCTTACACTATATGGCCAAAGGTGGACACCACCACACCTACATAACCAACAGCGGGGTTGATTTACTAAAACTGGACAGTGGAAAATCTGGTGAGGCTGTGCATGATAGCTTGTTAGCTTCTAACTTCACTTGTTTAATTCATCTTTAACAAAAAAAACCTTGGAAGCCGATTGGTTTCTCTGCAGAGCTGCACCTGATTTTGCACTCTCCAGTTTTAGTAAATCAACCCCAGTATGTGAAACGTAGAAGTGGCCGCACACAGCAGGGAGATGCCAATCAGCATGCAAACAGCATCATGACCATGGAATGTTGACGCTCTTCACGCAATAGCATGTTTATTCATCATATTCCCCCACATGGCTGAATTCAGATGTTTCCAGTGAGGGATCCTGTTAATACTACATCATACAAAAAGACATTGTGGACAATTGTGTTTTTCCAACCTTGCGGTAACAGTCTGGTGAAGACCCTTTTCTGTTCCAGCATGACTGTGCCCCTGTGTACAAAGTCATCTCCATAAAGACATGGTTTGACCAGTTTGGTATGTAGGAAATGGAGTGTCCTGCACAGAACCCTTACCTAAAACCTATCGAACACCTTTGGGATGAACTGGAACGAGCCAGGTCTTCTCATCCAACATCTCCATAAAGATATAATTTGGTGTGGAAGAAATTAGGTGTCCTGTAAAAAGTCCTGACCTCAACCCTACTGAACAACTTTGGGATAAATTAGAACAATCCAGGTCTTCTCATCCAACATCTCCATAAAGACATGGTTTGACCAGTTTGGTACGTAGGAAATGGAGTGTCCTGCACAGAACCCTTACCTGAAACCTATTGAACACCTTTGGGATGAACTGGAACGAGCCAGGTCTTCTCATCCAATATCTCCATATAGACATGGTTTTAATGAGTTTGGTGTGGAAGAAATGGAGTGTCCTGTAAAGAGTCCTGACCTCAACCCTACTGAACAACTTTGGGATAAATTAGAACAAGCCAGGTCTTCTCATCCAACATCTCCATAAAGACGAGGTTTGACCAGTTTTGGTATGTAGGAAATGGACTGCCCTGCACAGGACCCTTACCTGAAACCTATTGAACAGCTTGTGAGTTTGGAAAGTATGAAAAAAGAAATTTTGCAATAGTGTCCCACAATGAATATCCCCTGAAAATAGTACAGTGTGTCATTATGGTCATCGATTTGACAAGAAAAGAGAAAGTGGGAGTAATTTGAAATTCTCACCAGGCTCGGCCCCATTGCCCATCACCTTCTTTTGCTCCATTAGCAATTTTCTTGTGATCTCCTTTTGCATTCTGCTTCCTGCGTTCACCCATTTTTATCCTGAAAAGGCAAGAGAGAGAAAATGTTCAAGAGTATGTGAACCCTCAATAAGCTTCTCTTATTTGTTCACAAGATCAATTGTGTTATTATCTCAGAATTCTATTTTTACAAACAAATAAATTAGAATTCTGAGATAATAACACAAAATTCTGAGATAATATGATAAAATTCTGAAATAATAAAACAGATATAATAATAATAATAATACACGGGGTATAAAATGTGAACCTTGAGTTTGTTTGGGTCAAGCTGGCTGGATGTGCGGTAATACGGTAGCTTTGGCTACATACATTATACAGTATATATACAGCCCGCTGGATGTGCAGTAATGTACATACAGTATACCCGCGCTGAGCCAAGCTGGCTCAAAACAAATGTCCCTATGAGAGATGAATCTGTCAGCCCGCTGGATGTGCGGTATATACAGTATACTGAGCCAAGCTGTTTCAAAACGTACCAGTACGTCCCTACGGTAATCAGCCCGCTGGATGCGTGTATGTACAGTAGCTGCGGCTACATACAGTATACACTGGGCCAATCACGGCGAGGGATGTATTCTAATAATGAATACAAAGCCTGCTCAGATTGGCTGAGTCAGAGAGGTGGGCTGATGATGTCACAACCTCAGCCAATCCGAGCAGGCTTTGTATTCATTATTAGAATACATCCCTCGCCGTGATTGGCCCAGTGTATACTGTATGTAGCCGCAGCTACTGTACATACACGCATCCAGTGGGCTGATTACCGTAGGGACGTACGGTACGTTTTGAAACCGCTTGGCTCAGTATACTGTCTATACCGCACATCCAGCAATCCCTCCACTGACCTCCAAACCCCTCTGCCAATCCCTCCACTGACCTCCACCCCCCTCTGCCAATCCCTCCACTGACCTCCACCCCCCTCTGCCAATCCCTCCACTGACCTCCACCCCCCTCTGCCAATCCCTCCACTGACCTCCACCCCCCTCTGCCAATCCCTCCACTGACCTCCACCCCCCTCTGCCAATCCCTCCACTGACCTCCACCCCCCTCTGCCAATCCCTCCACTGACCTCCACCCCCCTCTGCCAATCCCTCCACTGACCTCCACCCCCCTCTCTGCCAATCCCTCCACTGACCTCCACCCCCCTCTGCCAATCCCTCCACTGACCTCCATCCCACCCCCCTCTGCCAATCCCTCCACTGACCTCCACCCCCCTCTGCCAATCCCTCCACTGACCTCCATCCCTCTCTGCCAATCCCTCCACTGACCTCCATCCCTCTCTGCCAATCCCTCCACTGACCTCCACCCCTCTCTGCCAATCCCTCCACTGACCTCCACCCCGCTCTGCCAATCCCTCCACTGACCTCCACCCCCCTCTGCCAATCCCTCCACTGACCTCCACCCCCCTCTGCCAATCCCTCCACTGACCTCCACCCCCCTCTGCCAATCCCTCCACTGACCTCCACCCCCCTCTGCCAATCCCTCCACTGACCTCCACCCCCCTCTGCCAATCCCTGCACTGGCTTCCGATTGCCCAACGGATCAAATTCAAAATCCTAACGCTGACGTACAAAGCCGTCCACCATACTGCCCCGAACTACATCACTGACCTGATATCCAAGTACCCGCCCAGCACGCACCCTCCACTCCTCACAAGACCTCCTTCTCTCTAGTTCCCTGGTCTCCTCCTCCTCCCATGCCCGCCTCCAGGACTTCTCCAGGGTGTCACCCATCCTCTGGAACTCCCTGCCCCAACCCATCAGATTATCACCTACTCTCCCTCTCCTTTAGGCGCACCCTGAAAACCCATCTCTTCAGGAAGCCTACCCCACCCCCTGCTAACTTACCTACCTCCTCCACTCTTCCTACCCCACCCCATCCCCCACAGCTATCTCCTCCTGTGCCACCATCCCCTCCCTCCTAGATTGTAAGCTCCAAGGAGCAGGGCCCTCGAACCCCTCGTGTATCACATTGTATTGGTATTGTTCTGTCACATGTTCTGTCCCCCTTTGTAATGTACAGCGCTGAGCGAACTATTGGCGCTTTATAAATACTGTATAATAATAATAATATGATGACTGTCTTACAAATGTATCACAAGATGTCATTCATGAACTTATGATGTCAGAGGATGAACATGAGGATTTTGAAGGATTTTAAGTACCGGTAAATCCAGGGGCGGACTAACCATTTGGAAACTCGGGCACTTCCCGAGGGCCCGGGTCAGTAAGGGGCCCCATGAGATGCCCCTGGTACCTTTTTTTCATAGGCTTTTTTGAGTTTGGGCAAGGACACAGGGGCCTCATGATCCCCTATTGCCCGGGGGCCCCATGAGTTGTCAGTCCGCCCCTGGGTAAGTCATAACCATTTCAATTTAAAAATCTGATGTTTTTAAATGGTGTTGCCTCGGCAGGGGTGTAGTCTTATACGGCGAGTATAGCCCAAAACCTGTGTTTTAACTGGAAAATTAGGGGGTCGTCCAGGGACGGACTGACAACTCATGGGGCCCCCGGGCAATAGGGGATCACGGGGCCCCTGTGTGCTTGCCCAAACTCAAAAAACCCTATGAAACCCGAGTTTCCAAATGGTCAGTCTGCCCCTGGGGTTGTCTTATACACCCAGTCACCTTATACCCTGGAAAATACGGTGTGTATATATATATATATATTGAAATATATTTTGAAATATATTGAATGCGGCCAAAATTGTAGCATTTCAAATATAAGGCAATATATTTGGGAAGAATATTTAAAAAATATTTTTCAAATATATTTTTTTCTTCCATGTGGGTGTCATCATGTATGGAGTTGATGGTGAACACTGGACTTACACACAAAACTCAACAGATGATAAGGAGACTCTTTCACCCCAATAGGTCTGCAGCCATGAAAGCCGGCCACTATCTCCCCGAATATCTGCTGAACTTCAGCACATGCAGGCGCAGCGCAGCTCATAAAGCTCATAAAGCCTGTTGAAGGACATTTCCAAGTGATCTGTTTTTTCTTGTTTAAATAAACATTTTCCAGCGGTGTGTTTAAACGGTTTAACTCTTTTTTTTTTTATTTTATTTTATTATTTTTATTGAATTTTACGTATGAAAAACCAACAGCCCTAGTACTGCCAGGTGGAAGTGCTAACCACTTGGCCTCTGTGCTGTCCAATCATTCAATGGTGTCTAGAGCAGAGGGAAACTGGAGTACCTGGAGGAAACCACACAGGCACAGGGAGAACATGCAAACTCCAAGCAGGTGGTGGCATGGTTGGGATTTGACTCAACAACCCTACTATTGCCAGGTGGAAGTGCTAACCACTTGGCCTCTGTGCTGTCCAATCATTCAATGGTGTCTAGAGCAGAAGGAAACTGGAGTACCTGGAGGAAACCACACAGGCACAGGGAGAACATGCAAACTCCAGGCAGGTGGTGGCATGGTTGGGATTTGACTCAACAACCCTACTATTGCCAGGTGGAAGTGCTAACCACTTGGCCTCTGTGCTGTCCAATCATTCAATGGTGTCTAGAGCAGAAGGAAACTGGAGTACCTGGAGGAAACCACACAGGCACAGGGAGAACATGCAAACTCCAGGCAGGTGGTGGCATGGTTGGGATTTGAACCAGTGAACCTGGTACTGCCAGGCAGAAGTGCTAACCACTTGGCCACTGTGCTGCCCAATCATTCAATGGTGTCTAGAGCAGCAGGAAACTGGAGGAAACCCACACAGGGAGAACATGCAAACTCCAGGCAGGTGGTGGCATCATTGGTATTTGAACCAACAACCCCTAGGTAGAAAGTGCTAACCACTTGGCTGCTGTGCTGCCCAATTGTGTCTAGTGCAACAGGAAACTGGAGGAAACCCAACAGCCTTAATACTGCCAGGGGGAAGTGCTAACCACTTGGCCACTGTGCTGCCCAAGCAATCAATGGTGTCTACAGCAGCAGGAAACTGGAGGAAATCCACATAGGGAGAACATGCAAACTCCAGGCAGGTGGTGGCATGGTTGGGATGGTTGGGATTTGAACCAACAACCCTAGTACTGCCAGGCGGAAGTGCTAACCACTTGGCCACTGTCCTGCCCAATTATTCAATTGTGTCTAGAGCAGCAGGAAACCACACAGGCACAAGGAGAACATGCAAACTCCAGGCAGGTGGTGGCATTGTTGGGATTTGAACCAACAAAACTTAATACTTCCAGGGGGAAGTGCTACCCAATTGGCCACTGTGCTGCCCAATCATTCAATGGTGTCTAGAGTAGAAGGAAACTGGATGAAACCCACACAGGGAGAACATGCAAACTCCAAGTAGGTGGTGGCATGGTTGGGATTTGAACCAACAACCCCTAGGTAGAAGTGCTGCCCAATTGTGTCTAGTGCAACAGGAAACTGGAGGAAACCCATGCAGGCACAAGGAGAACATGCAAACTCCAGGCAGGTGGTGCTGTGGTGGGGATTTGAACCAACAACACGAGTACTGTCAGGCGGAAGTGCTAACCACTTGGCCACTGCGCTGCCCAATCATCCAATGGTGTCTAGAGCAGCAGGATATCGAATACTAAATCATTCCTATACATCTGGGAAGCCATGTTTGCACATTACGTATGCATGCTATGCTTCTTGTGTACGTTGAGTATGCGTTTCTATTCCACTCTCTATGCAGAACTTGTCTAGTGCAGGCCCCTGGGTAGCAGTGTTCAGGATCCCACAGGTATGGTATATGCATAGTTACATTGGTTCAAGCTGGAACAATGTAACTAGATAAAAAGATCCATACCTGGTGTTCTTCTTTATTATTATACAGGATTTATGGCGCCAACAGTTTGCTCAGCGCTTTACAATATAACGGGAGACAATACAGCAACAATACAGTTCAATACAAGAGGGATAGGAGGGCCCTGATCCTGGGAGCTTACAATCTAGGAGGGAGGGGCTAGTGGTACAAAAGGTAGTAACTCTGGGGGATGGACTGGTAGGAAAAGTAGAAGATTCCATTATTAGCTGAGGGCGGGATAGGCTTCC